TCGCCTTGTCCTGGCCGCAGACCAACTCGGCGCCCTCGCCCCTGGAGCAGCCCAAGGCATTCGTCAAAAGCACCACATCAACCCTACTACCGTTGATATCCCAGAGCTCATCTAACAAGCCAGCAACCCCGGAATTTGACAATACCCGCGTGTACATGCTCGCCCAAATGTCACAGGTCATGAAACCCGACAACTCGACCGAGCTCCCCGCCATCACCCACATCCTCAAAACTCTTGCGCTGCCAGAGTATAAATCCTCATCTTGGACATTCACCGCGGGCTACTTCAACCCCGCCCCGTCGCTGACAAAACTCCTCCTCACCACCGCCTCCTCCGTCCGCACCAACACCGTCATCACCGCAGCCCCAGAAGCCAACGGCTTCTACAGGTCGCCCGGCGTCTCAGGGCTTCTGCCGGGGGCATATACCCTCCTGGCTCGTCGCTTCCTCAGCGCCATCCACACATATGGCCGCGATGACCAAATCACCCTCCAGGAATGGCGGCGCGGCACCGTGGGACAGCCCGAAGGTTGGAGCTACCACGCCAAGGGCCTCTGGGTCACCCTCCCCGGCGACGAGCATCCATCTATGTCCATCATCGGAAGCTCCAACTACACGAAGCGCAGCTATTCTCTCGATCTCGAGGTGGGCGCTCTCATCGTCACCCGCGATCAGGCCCTGAAAGAGAAGCTCGGCAACGAGCAGGCTTGGCTCCAGCAGCACGCTAAGCCCGTCACGCAGGACGACTTCACGAAGAATGAGAGGAGAGTTGGTCTACACGTCAGGGTCGCCATGTGGATCGTGCAAGCTGTGGGAGGTGCCCTGTGAGGCGCCGCAGCAAAGATATGTAAACCTGGAAGAAAAAAGGCGATCAAGGCGAGCCACATCAATGTTTGATTAGACACTTAGACTCAAGGAGATACCCGGTCCATAGAAATAGTAAATGAAAGCAAAATACCAAAATATTTACAATTCACACACATGATTCATTCCGTTTGCTTGTTAACAGTTGTACATATATAAGTTGATACATAATACAAGATTATCGATGCCCAGCAGCCACCCCGGGCGCAGATGCCATTCTTCTTTTCTTAAAACACCTTCTGGCCAGTCGGGATACCAGAACCCTTGAGCCCACCGACAACAACATTGGACACCAGGTCGCTCTGGTGGCGCTCAATCATCTCCTTGAGCACACTGCGCTCCATGACCACCTTGCCCGTCTCCAGAAGATCCTTGATATCCACATCCTCCAGGTCCAGCGCCCGCCCCTCCCAGGGGACCTGCTCCATGGCCGAGTACAGCTGCTCCCGACGATCGCCCGTGACGAACAGCGTGCGCCCGTCCGCCTTGCCCAGGCCCAGCGTGTCCAGGACGCTCTTCATGTACCGGGCCTGGTACGCCTCGCGCAGGCCCCAGCGCAGGTCCTTCTTGTGGGCCTTCTCGAAGCCCCGGGGCATGGCCAGCTCCATGCCGTCCTCGCAGACGATGAGCTCCCCGCGGCGGTACCGGTAGCTAAGCGCGGTGCGCCAGGCCTTGTCGTAGACCTTGCGGTTGAGGCTGGTGCCGAAGTCGCGGGGGTGGGGGCCGAAGGACTTGCCACCGCCGCGGAGGAGGGGGTTCTGCTTGGAGCCGAGACGGGCGCGGCCGGTGCCCTTCTGGGGGCGGATCTTGCGGTGGGAGCCGTGGACGTCCCAGCGAGTCTTGGAGCTGGCGGTACCAGAGCGTGTGTTGTCGCCCTCGAAGACTACTGCGAGGTGGAGGAGATCGCGGCGGAGGGGTAGGTAGAGGTGGTCGACGGACCATTTCTCGAGGGATGTGGGCTCGAATGAGGGGAAGTTGTGGATGGTGAGAGGGACGGTAGACACTAATCGAGGGAAGGAATTTCTGTCAGTCAAAAGATGTTCCCGACATTGAGGGCGCAAAGCTTCGAGGAGTCGTACCTGGGTTCCATGACTGGATCAATGCAGACTTGTCGCTGGCGGTTTTGGTAATGCTAGTCTCAGAAGCCTCAGTGGCCATCGATCGGGTAAACGTCCTGGTGACTGTTGAGGGCTGTTTGCGAGAATTGGTGTCAGTTTCTGGCTCTGATGTTCATAAATCTGGGTATGACGAACCTTGGCGGCAGACAGCCTCAAGGCCCCCATTGCCTCTGAGAGACATCCAACTCCCCGTCCAGCCATTGTTCCCAAAGTTCCGAAAACAGAAGCCGGTCGTCGAGAGTAATTGCGTGTGGCTGCTGGATGCCGAACGTTGAATTGATAACCCGTTGTTGGAGACTGATTTGGCGGGTTGGCTCAATATCAAAAACCGTGCAGCCAGTAAGAATCCGATTGGCAAATGGTGGGTCTGGAGAAATAATTGTGGGTCTATCGCCTGCACCGAACTTTTTCGAGCTGCTTCAACTTGGAGTAAAAGCCAGGACATGACGAGCAAACCCCTCCTCAGCCTCCATTGAAACGCCTCGACAGGGCCATTGGATCGGGGAAGTCACAGAAAAAATCCATCGACCATGTCGCGGTGTCAATCGGTCGCAAGACCGCTCGCCCGGCAGCTGCAGCAGCGCTCAATGCAGCAATGCCTCGCCATCAGATCTTTCAACACCACCTCGAGCCAGCAGAATGCGGCCGCCAGCGCAGCGGCCGCCGTCGAGCCCACGCCGCTCGACCTGGATCCGGATACCGTCCTACCCGAGTTCGAAGATGCTCTCATCAAGGCCGGCAAGATGCCCATCGGCTCCCGTCGTCGTCGAGTGGCGCTCCGCTCGAACCCCAACAGCCTCCCGTTCGAGCAACTTCCATATCAGGCTTTCCAAGAAGCTCGCAAAATTCTCGCCGCCGATCGAGAACAGAAAATAGCCAAGATCAAGGAGGAGGTGGAGAAGATTGCCCGTATTGAGGCTGTCGAAGATTCCCAGTTCAAGGGTGGTCCCAAGATGAAGGCTACGAGGCTGGCCAGTTTGAGGAAATATGTCGAGGAACTCAAGATCAAGGCTGATGTCAATGACCCAATCGTGAAGAAGAGATTCGAGGACGGACTTGGTAAGTTCCTCTAAAGAGCGGACGCATCTTTTCGTGCAGGCTCAGTTACTGATTTAGGATGCAAACAGGTGACATGAACAAGCCCATCTACAGATACTACGCCGAGAAGAAGTGGCGATCCTACGATCAGAGGCTCATCACCCAGCGTATCTCACAATTCCACATCGTGCCAGATATCATACCCAAGCTAGTGCCCACGGCCGATGTCCAGCTCTACTTCCGCAAGGCCAAGGTCGCTCCCGGCCAGATCGTCGACTCCATTGTCAGCGAGAACCCTCCCAGACTCCGAGTACAGCTCTTCAACCCAGGCGAGCGCCTCGTCACCGTCGTCGTGGTCGACCCCGATGTCCCCGACGTCGAGAACGACACCTTCTTCAACCGGTGCCACTACATCGCCGCCAACATCCCGCTGAGCCCCACCGACACCTCCCTACCCCTCTCCAAGATCAAGGCCGACGACCAGCTCGCCCTCCCCTGGCTGCCGGCCTTCGCCCAGAAGGGCTCCCCCTACCACCGCATGGCCATCTTCCTCCTCGAGCAGCTACCCGGCGAGCGGGTTGACGTCGCAAAGGTCAAGGAGCTCTACGCCAGCAGCCGGGACAAGTTCTCGCTCAAGTCCTTCCAGAGCAAGTTCCGCGTCCGCCCCTTTGGCTTCAACATGTTCCGCTCCGTCTGGGACGACAACACCGCCGCCGTCATGGCCCGCCACGGCCTCCCGGGGGCCGACGTCGAGCTCCGCACGGCCCGCGTCCACTCCCTCAAGGGCCCCGTCAAGCTCAGGGGCTGGGAGGCCAAGCGCCAGGGCCCCAAGTACCGCCAGCTCTGGAAGTACACCAAGCGCATCCGCGGCCTGTCCAACGCCCGCGGCTGGACCAAGAGGAAGTAGGGGAAGGCGGAGAGAGGATGATGACGAAAAACGAAGAAGCGACAGCAGGGCAGCGTCACGCTCGTGCCGCCTCCGACGGTGTAATATTATTGCCATTAAACATCCCGATGGTCGTGCTGTATCTATCTATGTCGGGTCAGAGGATGATGTACAATGTAGGATTAGCCATGTATACACATCATACACTAACAATAAAGCAAAATTCACAGTCTCTTTTCCTCGCTTTTTCTACGTGTATATTTTCAATATGTATATGACCATTTACCGCCAGTTTGCAATAAGTGTCTCAAACTTTAGGCTTCATCCTAGGGGAACTAGCACATCACTGAGCGTGCGGCATGTGATGTGGGTGTGGGATCGGCAATCGTGTATCCAAACTCACTCTGCCGCAACAATGAACACGTCTTTCCATTCGCCTTAAGTTCGACATTGGCAATGACTGACTCAGGCTTGTCTCTAGTCGTCACATTTTGTTCACACCTTGCTCTTGTGGGATTTACCCAACGCCGTTGCGAGATCAATGCAAGACGTCAGTTTGTGGTAAGAGTCATGTAATGAGGCGGGTCCCAGCACCATTAATAACCAGTCCATACCCCCGGACACTCCTTTTTTCTCATCCACAACCTACGCTCCTTGACAAACAACATTCTCGATCCCAAGCCAGCAGACTTTGAATACATCCAAATTAATATTATATGTCTTCACTCCACTAACACACTAATACTGCTGCACATAACCAGTGAAAGTGTCCTCATGTCGTGAATTCTAGTTCATCAAGTCATCACGGGCTCGCAGGCTCCGAATCATTCCTTTTTCGCCTTATGACAAATCCCAATCCTTGGGAAGCAGCATTTACTTCCATCCTGGATTCTAGCAGAACCCTATTTGCGGCGTCATCTCTGGTATCATCATCGAATACAGGACACAATACCTCCAAAGCAGCAGATAACGCCGCATCGCCAAAAACTCTCAAACTGAACTAAACCACCCCAAGGTGGAATGTTGGATCTCATACTCCAGTATCTTGCTTGTTGTTTTTGGGCCCCAAGTTGGTGGCCATGGTCGACGTATATATCACTGAAACATGTCATCAGGCATGTGATCGAAGTTGATATCTTCCCGCTTGATAGGTTGCGCCGGGAATCTTACAGCGCCAGGTGATGATGCCGTCGGTGAGTAATGATTAGCTGGAACTTGTGAAATTAGTACCATTTCAATAGGTGAGGAACTCGCTGGAGTGATGCTGCTTACCGATAGGGCTTTGGCGACTCTCGGACGCGGGCAACGATGGAGTGATGGATGGGCGGTGACCCAAGGCATTGAAGGATCCATCCATCGACTTTCTGACGAATCGCCTAGCCTCGCCTTCAATCCACTGATCAATGTTTGGATCATGGCAGTTCGAGTGTGCCATCAGCAAGGTCTTTATTTGGCTGACCTCCTGCAACAACGCATTGTATTCCCGCTGTAGAGCAGCGTGCTTCGCCTCCAGTAACGCCTTGGTTGCCTCGAGATCGTGCATCCATTCCTTTTTCTTCTGACGACACTTAGATGCGGCAAGTCGATTCCGTTCAAGGTACTTATTTCGCTTGGAGTCCCCTTCCTTTGCGCCCGATTTTAGATCTTTTGAGGGCGAGTGCTGCTTCTTTCGAGAAGGCTTCCGGACTCGCTTCTTGGGTTGCGAGGTATGGGAAGAGGCAGAAGAAACAAGCGACGGGATTGACGAATTGCTCGAGGTACGGGATGACTTTCTTGTTGCGATTGGTTCATGAGTGTTCGATGTGGTGATTGCTACCAGATCGATATCATCGCTGATTTCCATTGGGTCTTCTCCGTTCTTTGGCTGGCAAAACAATGGCGTCGAATGGTCAAGCTGCTGATCCCAGAGTGAAGGAGACATGGCGAAGGTTGGCTCGGGGGGCTTGTCGCTGATGCCGGTATGGAACTGCATCGCCAGGCGGGGATCCACCATCATACGGTCGGCAGTTGGGGAGAGATCCAAGAACCCATCAGAGCAAGCCAGAGCTATATCCACGTCGGTATCCACGAACTTGCCAGCGGCATCCGCCGAAGTTGAGTCGGTCAACACAGACATGGTGCGATATTGGATTGGGTGTTTCGATTGATTCTGCTGTGGTTCGAATATGTTTGGAAGCAAGGGAAAAGAGAAGGATACAGCCGGATGTGAAGGAGCTTGGAGCTATGCAATGCCCTGGTACCTTGAGCTGGGTGTGTCACCAGCTTTCGATCGATGCAGGAATTGCGGGGCAGGTTCTTCCTTAACAACAGTCGCCACTTGAAGCTCGGGTGTCCCGTACTTAGATTCGTGAGGGGATGGCTGTCTCAACGGATGTATCGGGATTCGTTATAACCATGAGATTCTGGCCTCGGATGGCGCCCCACTCTATTGCGTCCAAACTTGCAGAGGGACGCGACCGGGAAGAGAGGCGAGTGTGGCGATGCTTGGGTGCGACACTATGAAGGGATGAGGGTCTTCGAGGCAGGTCCAGAAGACTCGTGTGAAACAGCCAGCTGATAGGTGCAGAGCAGAGTGTGCGAGCAATGTTCCAGTCAGCAGGGACAGCGAGTAGAGAGTTGAAATTGAACCTGGGTAGGTTTCTGCTGAGCCTTGGCCTTTAAAATCAAAAATCACAAGGCTTTGTGTTAGTCGAGGAGGCAATCCTGAGTGGAGGCTCGCAGCGAATTGAGCTCCGGTCGCTTCGATGTGGCCTGCCTCCTGCTGGAATGGACTAAGCCTCGGAGGTAGTGTCGTTGTTACTGTTGAACTCTGTTGTGCTAGGCGGGCCTGTATTGGGTCTAGGCCACTGACCTGCAGGTCGAAAAAGCTTCACTCGCAGTAGCGACAAAGCAAGACAAAGTTGGGCCAGCTGGCTGGCAAGTAATTAGCGCCAAGTTTCTCGGTAGGACTAACAGAAGAGAGCAGGTCTCGGCGATGGGTTTGGTAAGTCGATGAAATCGAGCTCAATCGAACCAACACGCACAAGGGTAGGCACCAGTTAAATAGGAAGTGATCAAAATCGAGCTGGATGGGGGTCATGTCCAGTCTCCGATAAGACCATGTTTCCGATCTCATTAGTCTCAGTCTACTTGGTCCCAAGCACATGAAAGAGCTATGCGCACGGAGGAAGTAGAGAGCCACCACAGGCAGCCTGCTTGGGGTGGAGGTTCCTGTCCTTCATGGACCCACGACATCCACAGTGGGTGGGTGGTATTCACTAATTCCCCATAGCGAGACGGGACTGGCAGGCACAACCACATCGCTGCCTTCCTTCCTACTCGGAGAGGTCGACAGAGCGGGAAGTAGCTCTGGCCAGCGCTGCGTCGAGGCCCTGAGGTACTCGCCTACCGCACCTTCCACGCAAGCACTAAACTGAAGGTACCGGCCAGGTAGCTCCGAAGCCAGGGCCACGCAGCTCGAGGTACTTGCGGGCAACCTGGGCTTCATCTAGCGATCGGTACTATTGGAGCCAATGTACGGAAGGGCAATTGGATTTGGTGAGGGTTGTCATACCTTAGTACTCAACCCAGCAAGAATGGTACCTAGGCTGCCGTGCTGCGGATTAGTGGAGTTGGTGGTCGGGAAACTCTAGCCGCAACCCCGCCTGCAGGGAGTTAAAAGCTGAGCACCGCTGCATCCAGCACAGTGCCCCTCACCAGCTCTCCACAGTCGCTCACTTCCCGTTACACAGGACATGCAGCGCGCAGCCACAAGGCCAGTTAGTTTGCGGAAACAGGATCGGGGCATTAGCATTATGAGCTGCTCGCTTCTTCCGGTACCTAAAGCCCCCGCTCTGCTGCACGATTTCCGAAGAGCTCGGTCACACTCCAAGCCTGCAGCATCCAAAGGTGGGTTGCCTCACTTGAAGACAGGCACTGGCACACCTCGGTGGTGTCAATGTTGAGGTACCCAGCACGATCCTCAGCAACTCGGCCAACCACCGCAAAGAGTTGAGCGTAATCATCTTAGCCATCTCGATTCACTCGTGTTTAGCTTCAGTGTGACTAACAGTCGAGCGCACATAATCCAACACAGTTCGGTTCCGATTGTGCATGAACGAAGATCCTTCTGACAAGGTGAGGAGGCTGGCCTCAAGGTTGCCTGCGTTGCCTTATCTCCTTGCAGCATCGAAAGCTACAACAAGCACAGTAGAGGGTACTAATTCGCCCCGATACAGCCATGCTGAGAAGTACTTTATGCGCAGCTATCTAAGGTGGATGCTGAGGTATTACTGATGAGTACCTCTAAACTAGAGTGGACTTCACCACCCAAAGTGGCTGAAATAATAAAACATAGCACACCGAAGCCTCCATACAGCCCCAGATTTCGACTCAACATTCAAACAATTATCAAGATAATATCAAGCTAAATGAAATACAATAATCTACTTTTTTACTATTATTGGTTGAAATATTATTAATCACAGAATGAGGTCTCTAGCTTGCACGAAAAGAGCTCTGGTGGCCATGTTTTATCTCAGCCGCTTGCCACCGTCAAGGATTGCATGCTAGGACCTCTTGTGGTCCTTTCCATTATCCTTTGTACAGTATAAACGAGTGAATAAAACACATTGCTGTAGCTTTCGACACTCCAAAGTGATAAAAAACCTATCGCCGAGTTGGCATCGATCAGCAACAAAGCCATCAAGACACGTCACGGAGCATATATCCCGGCTCTGCTGAGAGGCCCACGCACAGTCCGCACCTCCAACTGCAAGACGAGCCATACCCAGAATGCTGCGATTGGGTGTGTTACTGAACTACTGATCGCCTTTCTGGTCTCCAATCTTTTTCTGTCTCCATTACCAATCACTCGTGACGGGTGTGGCCAGCTACGTCCTTCGCCACACCTTGAATAAAGTATACTTTGAAGTGCGAAAGAAATACCCAATCCGCTATTCCATCGAGATTCGGGGGTCAAGGGAATCATTAGGGTCGCGCCAAAAAAAAAAGCGTCAACGGGGATCTGCCTCCCTACGGGCGTCATAAAACTGGCGAACCGGATTTTTCAATTAGATTTTGTGTACCTATCATAAGGCACCGTTCAACGGCCATGACGATATCTATATCTAAGGACAGATTCTGATTTGGTAGAATTGCTCTAGATGCCACGACTAGTCGACAACGGCTTTTGACCCCTGTTTACTGATGATGGTCGATGGACCCATACCCATGTTAGATATGATCTCATTCTCGTTTTCTGGTGAGGGATTGAGACGATGAATTGCATGTCCGCGGAATGCCAAGCTTGCAAGCATCAGGTTCTTTATGTGGGGGGAATCCCATTCACCGAAATCCCATGTTTCCCATCATCCATGAAATCACTACTTCTGGATCGTGATCACGATGAAATACGCAATTCGGGAAATCCTAAATTTTATTACGCATGGTCCATAATTAGTATCACATCTCGTTTCCTAAATCAAGTTTTCTCGACTCCCCCCTGCTGAGGCTGATGGTGAAGGGTTATTGGGAACTTCACGTGATACGTCATTGCTACACGTGATTTCGCGCCTGTGTCTGCAATTGCCCCTCTCACGCGTTTCGCGTTCAAAGGCAATCAACCGCTTACAGCGAATTTTGCATCTCGTCACGTCACATCAGCAGACAAGCTGCAATCCCTGCACATAAGAAAAACGAATTGCGGTTGCAATTAGTGAAAACCGGCTCTTGACAGTTCTTATCACACCAATCGCACGTCATGAGTGAGCAAATCGTCCACCCCCGCATTTCTGCGCGATACCTGGACAGCTTCGTTGGCCGCCATGTCATGCTGGTCGGCAAGGTTCTCCAGGTGCAAGGGAAGCAGGCTACTGTCGATTCAGATGGCACAGTTACAGTCCTTCTTGACCAGGTAGTCCAAGACTCCCACTCATCTTCAAAAGAGATATGTCTACTAACGATCAAATTCAGCTCTCCGAGGTCGTCGGTGGAAGCTGCGTCCAGGTCCTAGGCAAGGTCAACTCAGACTTGACTATCAAGTCGTACCAAGCTCAAGATCTAGGACCAGACGTCGGTGAGTCTCTTCATCCTAATCAAACGTGCCTTCTTCCCCTTTGCTTCAGGCTAACTTTCAACCCCCCAGATCTCGGAGTTTACGCCGCTGTGGTTGAAGCCACCCACAAGCACAAGGAGCTCTTCGTCAGTGAATCCTGACTTGCCCCCCCGGACCATGGCTGCCGCCCCTCCGTCACACACAACCTCCCCTACAGCCCCCGGGTTGCCATGGTCTGGCCCAAAACGAAGGATGGCGACGACGACGACAGCAGCCCAGCTGCTGGCCCCTCCCCCGCCTCAGACTCCGAACCACCGTCCTCGAACGAACCGAGCTCGCAGGACTCCGGGCTGTCCACTACTATCTCCACCTCCACCTACCCTCCCTTCCCGCAGCAAGCCCCCGTTCTACTCGCGTACAACTCCTCAAACGACACCGCATCCTCGCCTCCCCCAGCCAATTCCTACGAGGACTACTATTACTCCATACCGTCCGCCCAGCCTCGCACCCACCACTACTATCCACGCATCACCCACTCCATCTCCGCCACCGCATCCGAGAACTCAACCCAGCTCCCATCCCCCCCAGACTCCGACTTCATCCTCTCTCCCACCCCGCCAGAGCAAGGCCAGCAGCAGGCTCCAGGCGGCCTCCTCCCACCACAAAGGGGCGGGCAACTCTTCAACGACAGTTATGATCACGCACGTTCGGCTTCTTCTCGCCTAAACCGGCCCGCCCGCCAATATCCCGGGCTTTCAACGTCGAGGAATGATGCTGAAACTTTCATTGACGATGACGAAGATGACGCAGCCCTCAACTCGATTCTTGATGGCGTAGGGAAAATGCATATCACCATGGGACGGGATAATTCAGGACGGTGGCGGATCAGGCGCACAGGCGATACTCTAGACTAGAAGTTAAAACTTTTGGCGCGTCCACATTTTAGGTCTTCCGTTTAATTTTCAAAGGCTTCAGTTCAAGCGTAGGAAATATCTGACCGGTCCTCGCTCAATGATTAAGCATTCGCATAGTATACAAGTGTGACGTTCATAATAAGTATAAACAGAGGAATCGTGCCTAAAAGCGAGCCTTGCCTCCATTTTCACCTGTTCAGTCCTTGTAAAATCTATCCTAAGTGGTGTGCATCACTGCAACGCATCCTCCAACTCCAGTAGTTCCTGTGCCGCCATCCAAATATCCAGAGCCTCTGATCTCATGTCCCGTTTTGCTAGTTGGATTCTCCTTGGCGAAACTGCCTTATCAGTGCTTGGTCCACCAACAGTGCTATATACTTGGTCCACCGTCCCATCGTGGGTATGTAGAGTTTCCTGCTCTCCGTGTAAGCACCTGCGTATTCTCGCTGTCACAACACCGGCGTCTTCTGTCCTCCCCGAATCATCGCTCCCTTCTCTATCCTTGACTTGGTAACCCTCCAGGAATCGGACATGCTGATCCCGATCAGCGACCCCCTCATTGTCACTCGAATCCTCCCGATCGCTGAGAACATCCTCATCAAGCTGCTCACCCTGGTGGGGTTGCTCATCAGCAGCAGCAGCAGCTTGTCTGATACCCTTCAACTTCGATGTAAACTTCTCAAACACCTTGACCCTCCTCTCTGCAGCCTCTGCTCTCTCTTTCCACATCTGAAGCTCTCGCTTGGCTTCTCGCAACTGCTCGCTTAGCGTACCTACATCAAAATTCTCTTGTGCCTCAAGTTGTCGGCGAAGCTGAGAAGATTCCTCAACCTTGGCTTGAAGCTGCCGCTGAAGACTGCGAATTTGGGAATGGAGCAAGCTGGTGCTTCCAGTACGTTGAATTGGTGTCGAGCTGAGAGGAACACTAAGGGACTCTGTTTGAATAGACCCAGCTGTTGACATGGCTGACTGTGGGCGAGATAAATGGAGATATTGCGCCACAGGAGGTTGCGCTTGGGGAGGAACCATTGTCCCAAGACTTGTGGAGATATTCATTTGGCTTTGAAAGTCTTTCCCGCTGTTGGGTTCCGTCTTACTAGCAGCATCAATATGTCTAAGGCCAGCAAAAGGGGGCCGTTCAGAATTTGGCCCTTGGTGTTGTTTCTCAGCTTGCATGATCGCAGCAGCTCGCAACGCTACACTGTCACTCACAGAGGTCCTTAGCTTTGGGTGTCCTTGTCCTTGACCATCTGTTTTTTTGATATTTGTATTCGGGGTTTTGGGAGGCCCCATAGCTGGTGTTGGGTTAGGGGGAGTGCTTAATCCTAATACTGGGCCAAACTTGGTTGCGTTTGATGATTTTTGGGGTATCTTAGACTGCTGCGCCTTGTGTGTTGGGCCAAAAGTCTCGGTCGATTCCTTGGCCAACAGTGTACTTGGTTTCGGAGGCGGATCGTGGTTCTCAAACATCGCCGCCATTGCCCTCACTCCAGCTTGCTTACTAGCACTGCTTCGAGGGGATAAGTTGGCTTTGCTTTTCATCAGGCTTCTATCTTCAACCTTTCGATTCCGCGGCACCGCTTTTCTTGAAACTACATCCTTCGGCTCAAATCGATCCAGCCGTTGCGATGCAAGGTTGTTGATGGGCTTGATATTTGGTGAAGAAAGCTTTGCTTCGCGTGAAGTATCCTTCGCAGCAAAGGCACCCGGGATCTTTGTTCTTTTAGAAGTTTCAGTAGTCAAATCATCCATCGAGGATCTCTAGCCCTCGAATAAAAGTGGACGAGACGTTGAACTCAACCCGAAGGGGTTTCCGGGTCCGGGGACTCTCATGGGAGCATAAAAGCTTGGTGTTTTAGTTTCAGCAGGGTCCGTCGAGATTATGTCTTCTTCTCTGTATGATGCTGAGATATGCTTTTCTACATCTCCATTTGGTGACAAGTAAAGTATCTCGCGTCCATTAAGAGGCTGTGCTTTATGCTCTTTGCTTGACATTCGCATCTCCTGCTTGGGACGGTCCATGTTCACACGTTCACTCCTGGGGCTCACAACCGATCCCCTCCTAAGTTGAGATAGATCATGAAACAGGTCCGACTCCAGAGCCTCTATCTGGTCATCCGGGATCAAGACTGGCGATTCCGCCACTTGCAGTGTTGATGGTAGCTCTCTATTGGAAGCTTGAGAGACACGATCAACACTTGTGTTTAGCGATCTCCTCCTTTCCTCGGACTTCGCATCGATATGTCTAGGCTTTGAAGGGGGTGTATGGGATTGTCCACGCAAGTGCTCCATTTTTATTAGAGCCAAGCTCTGTCTGGCTCGGTCGCCTGTGTTGTTGAAATGGTCGTGTTCTTCAGCTGGAATTGTTTGCTGGAGGGAAGGGAAACCGATGGACCCATGTTTCGACGATGTCCTCGGGGGAACATCCTCTGAAGAAAGCTCAGGGCTATGATGAACCGGGGCTTCTTGAATACTGCTCCTTATCTCTCGGGCTCCTGATCTCGTTTGAGTGCTTGAAGACTCCCCACCACGACTTCTCCTCGGTGTAGCATGGCTGTTCTGCTGTGTGAATTGGTTTTGGTAATGAGGCCCAAGGTTATTTACTGGTTCCGATCTAGTATGTTTCTTGGCATTTTGATCAGAAAACGCGGGCTCACGAAACATAGTCTCCGAGGCCATCTTCTCCCGCCTCTCCCCTTCTATGCTTCCTTCCTCCATGGTTGGGCTTAGGACACCGGCGCTTGGTCTCGATTTCAATTGAGCAGAACCAAAACTCCTTCTGGGTTGCGGCTGTCGAATTCTTGAATTCACTATGGGAGCCTCAAAAACCGGGCTTCTGTCTCGATCTGCTTGAACACCGGACTCCCTTTGGGTAGACTCTCGTCCTCGAGGGGGTTTCCGCGCTGTGTATGACTCCGAGAATGATGGGCGAAGCGAGCCACTGCGCAATGTGGGATTCGAGACGTCCTTCCTGTGATGTATTCCAAGAGCCTTCATCTGACGTACCACGTCACGCCAATTCGCAATGAGCATCTCAGTGATACTATTGACAATGTTCACCTTGTTGATTGTTTGAGCTCCTACTAGATTCTTTTCCGTCGGAGCAGGTTTTCGTCGGCCTTGTCGAACCTTTTTCGCCCCTGGCGGTAGGAGCACCAAACCGTTCGACGGGGTCGCCAAGTTCATATCGTACTGATCCAACAGTTCTCCTACCAACAATGGCCCAAATACAATACCGAGGGCACTGTATCCCATCAAATCACCCGTCGGCAGTGGCCTTCCACCCTCATCCTCTCTTGGGGTCACTTCTGCTACCCTTCCGATCAAACTCAGGAGCCCAAAGACGGCGCAGATGAGCTCTCGCCGGAACTGGGACTCGATGGCCCCAACAGCCAGTGCAATGAGTCTAGCACGAACTTTGGTTTGCTTTGTTCGTGGGAATTCTGGATCGCCACGCAGCTGTGCATGAATCGCTACGAGCGCATCAAAAATGGACAGGGTTCCGAGGATACCACCGGGAAGTGTCGATATCATGCGCTTGAAGGTGGAAGCAACATCGTGGATAGAGAAATCGATGTGCGATGGCAGGTTGGCGCAACGAACGGTGCTGGAGACATCCAATCCCCCATTATTTGAGTAACAGTAGTAGTCGAAAAGAGTATTTACTACTCTGACCGATCCAGAAATTCGGAAAATTCCCCTCGTGGTTACATGCTGTGAGAGATGCTGAGCAGTTGCCCTAAGACACGTTGGCAGGACCAGCGATCCTGGGGTGTAGTCCTGGGGAAGGTAGAGGACGCTTTTCCCACTGAGTCGAACCATGGATTGGAGGGTTAGGGCTCTTGGAGGGTTGTTTCTACATGGCGCCAGGTGATTTGCGTACTCCGAAACACTTCGCCTGTGTTGCAAGGAAGGCGTTCCGGGTCTGGCTGCTGATCTGGCTGCTCTCTGTCCCTGGGTCCCATTCGATGTTGATCGCAGCATTCGGTGAAGCCATCCTCGTTTCTCTGGTACAGCGGGTTCAATCTTCTTCTATGTTGTTGTCAGTATCTAGACGTAGCACAGAGAAAGCCGGGCAAAACAGACTTGGGTGGCAATCTTGAAGTCATCGAGAACAAGGATTCTCACACCATGCTATAGAAATGTCAACCAAGGAGACTCGGAGAATCTAAACGCAGGCCCCCTGGTACCTTCTTTGCCAATCTATTGTACTCCTGGACAACCAATGCTCTGTCGTCGAATTCATCGGTGTCGCTCATAAGGCCCAAATCGCCACTGCTCGTCGTCCATGTTCTGCTCGTGCGTCGCATGGGTCCATCTCGCGGGCCCCCGAGGTGATGAACTGTTGCACTCTGTGGGAAAGCGAGCGACGTAGAGCTTCTTGAAGCTCGGGGGACCCTCCGAAGGGGGATATTAATCTCGGTGGTTGAGCATGAGTTGGGGATTGGGTGAGGAGGATACCCAGACGCGGGTGCAGCCATATCGTCTGTAGCCAGCCCCGACGAAAGATCGCTGCGTGGTAGCTTAATGTCAACGATTGAAGAAGGGTAATTCTGCTCGCTGGAATCGCGAAAAAAAAAATGTGTATGTTAGCAATGCACATTTAGGTCATATGAAGCTGGACGGAGGAACGCGAGGTTCACGTATTCCAGACGCAACAGAAATCCGCATAGCAAGAAGCATCTCGCTCACATAACAGCCCGAGGGATCAGACATTGCAAACCATGACCAAATCTGGAAAGTTGGGCCTGGCAAAAAAGACTGATATGCAGAAAGTGCTTGCTAGCCAGGGAATAATCGGCATCGGCAGGTGATGACTAGGAAAATCGGGGGGGAGCTCACAATACCTAAGGTGAGGAAAGATCAAGCCGAAGCTGAGGGCAGGGCACCTAGAGCTCGAGGCCCCAGCAGGAAAGCCGTCGCTTTGGTTTGGCAAGAGACAGTTGGACAAGGACTACGTCAACGTGCCAACGCAAAGCTATGCCTGCCCAACCACGAGCATTTCCAGCCAAACCCAGCCCGCAATGCGTTACGAGCTGCCTCGTATTATCTGGGCTCTCAGCAAGTAAATAAAATCTCTCATGGAGTAAAGCACTCGCAAGCAACCCAGGTGGGATAATGCTCAGCTAAGTCCAGAATAACAGCTGCAGGTAGCAAGCAGGTGTGGATATCAACATACCTTAGGCAGGGCATCAACGTACACACAGTCGCTCAACATGCCAAAGCTGGACCCAAGCGTATGCACGTGCATTTTGACTGTGAAAAGAAAATAAATGAGTTGTTCCTCGCAGAGTGCGTGCGAAATTGCTCGCTCTCTGTATAAATGTCACCAGTAGGACACAGTCAAGACCCGGCCGCTCGGCACTCGTCGACGGGAGCCGGCAGATACGTGTTGCGCCCGTGTGACTTACTTGGGCCTCTACAGTGCTCTGCTACGTTGTACAACGGCATCTTAATGCATGGTGGGATAGGTTATACCACGCCGTCCAATGGCAACAAAGGATATCTAAATGAAGCTGACATTGAGATCCCAGTACCTACTATCTGGTAATGTAGCGGCCCGTTGCGAGGGAGGCAGGACATAAACTCACAGTAGGAATCAGTAGCAAATCAACATGGGCAGTACTGGGTCCTTCTTCTCTAAACAGGTGTCTCCAGCACAGCCACTCTTTGAAGAACCCTCATCTTCCACCATGCTCGGCCGTCATCACGGTAGTATTCTCGGCAGAGTTCTAGTGCTCTTTGAGATCTTGTGCCACCGCTTCCTGAACCACAAGGCCATGTATCCTGCTTCCATTGCGCAAATTCGTAAATTCAGATTTTGCCGGCCCACGCTTCCAGGTCTATTATGTGTAAAAGGGAAAAGGGTGAGCAGTGATCCAACGGGCCGTCTTCGCTCTTGCCAATCACCCACCCGTATCGTCCCTAGATTCTCCGTTGCGCCGTTGAAAAGATGAAAAGATGCATAGCACACGAAACCAAAGAGTTTGTAGGCCTGCGCCCATATCTTCGTTGGTCTGTAGATCTCCGTGGTCATCGCTCGTCATTTCATTCATCATGAGCCGAGGCATCCATCATCCAAAAAAAAACCAATACCAGCAATCTATCGTACCCCGCCGCTTTGTTCGTCAGTCAATCCACCGGGGAGAGTAGAACATAAGCCAGGATATCAGATAGAGAAACGATGCCCTTCAGTTTGTTCTCGTCGTCAACAACGACAAGTCGGTGCACGCGGCTCTTCCGAACGGTGTCAAAGATAGCACCAAGACGATCATGCTCTGAGCAAGTGTATATGCCCGGGCTGTCTTCCGGGCGTCTAAGCAGAGCATCCCCCACAGATCCCGCCAACTCCTCGTATACCCCACCCTTGATGCAAGGGATGATATCCACTGCTTCAAAAACGTTGAGTAACCTGTTATCCTTGTCGATGATGGGGACACAGCTGATATTGCGATGAACCATCATTTGGATAACATCTAGCACAGGGCTAGTCATCTGGGCTGTCGCAACATTGGTATATGTTCCGAGATTCAACTCTCGGACCGTTCGCTTGAGGAGAACTGTATTATGCTCGTTGTTGACGGCAATAAACTTGAGAATTCGGTATTGAGTGATAACAGAGACGACCCATTCCCTGCCTGTCTCGTCGTCCTTATCAACAAGCGGGATTCGTCGAGCACGTGTCTTAAGCATGCCTTTGCATGCGTCGTAAAGGGGCAGGAGAGGGTTGACCGAAATAGTTTCAATGGGGACGGCGCCAATGGCTTTCTCTATGTCTGTATCCCTCGGCCGGTAAGCGAAATATTCCAGGTAAGGTTTAGGCGGCGGTGCTTACCTCGTAGGCTACTCAATCGGAATTGATCCAGCTTGCTCATCTCCTCGGGAAACTGGCAATAATACTGAATCACATTCATGTAATCAGTGGCCGTCAAGAGGCCAGCGAAGCGGGAGGTGTGAGAGTCCCATAGCGGTGCAGACACAATTGCTGTGGCGAAGGACAAGGATTGATTAGCATAAGGACATCTTCCAAGCATATCCAGCCCACCAGATCAACCCCGCCTCCGAGCTGGTGCAGGGCCCAAATAGTCCAAACCAGAAGCATCACCCACAATTTTGTATCATAATGTTGAGACTCTTGTTGATGAGTAGATCGGTGTCGAGGACAATGAGTCGGAAGGATAAAGGGAAAACATCGTAGCCGGTTCGAACCTTGAGGAAGTCTCGAATATTCTTCTGTACATCCCGAGCAACAGGTCAGCAACAGGAGCACCACCAAAGGGGAGAAAAAAGCAGTACGAGATAAAACAAGGCACAATGAGCAAAGGGAGACAAATCAAGTCGAAAACAAGCAACGGGTTAAACTGCAAGCAGGACGGAATCTGTCATCACGCACCAGACCTTGTGCCTCATCCTTGTCAGCGACAACCTGCTGGGGTGGTGGCGGGGGAGGCGCCGGCTGCGAGGCAGTTGTCGCCATTGCGCTGCGAGTCAGTGGCCTGAGGCGCAGGTACGATGACGGAGCAACGATGTGAGGGATCGCGGAAGGCTGCTGGTGATAATGTTGGTGGTGTAACGGGAGATGACGCTCGTGACCGCCCAGGCCGGTAGATGCAGCCTGTGCTTGTGCTTGTGATTGTCGCCCTGGAAGTGGTGCTGTTGCGGCGGGAGGTCTGGGGTCAGATTTCGGCTGGGCTGGCGGCGCGAATTGGCCTGTTGTGAGTGGTTCCGCTGGGCTGTCGGGTACATTGGGAGCAGAAGATGCTCCGGGTGCGTCTGCTAGCGCCTCTGCTCGGCCGCCTTGGTCGGACTGTCTCGCCTGAGACGCCTCAGCATCATCGTGGGCGGGGGAGACGACGGCGCTGTCGGCCGAGGCGGACGTGCCTTCGTCCTGGTCGCCACTAGCCATGGGTGACATGCTCGTCCATTCCAGTGCTACCGGATACAGCTGGGTATATTTTCCCTGGCGGTGCTGGAGTCGAATGCACGGCGAAACCTTGAGGCTTCCGCTTCGGTGAGGCGGTGGCGGACCAAACGCTGCGTTCTGGGGGTCGGAGGGTGAAATTTGAGATTGGGGAAAAGGGCAAAGCCAACGGCGCCTCCACCTCCATAAGTAATCAATGATCTATTGATAACAGATCTTCTACTTAGAAGTACCGATCTACCGGGGGATGAGGCCACCGGAGAGCCTCCATGCCATTGCCTGCGTAGGCAGGATCTGCGCCCTACTGATGGCTCCTCTCTGTATCTGCCCTCTCTACACACCTACCGTAGTAGGCCTCCGTCACTGCACTGCACCCATTCCTACAAAGCTCCCTCTAACTGCCTGGGGCAGTAGGTAGATACGAATGGCCCTTACCCTAAAGCTCGGTGAGGCGGCCTTGATCCTGGCACTGGACATGTTAGGGTATGTGTTTGCTTTGCTTCGAACTGTTGGCCAACTCAATCAACTTGATCCGATATCAAGTATGCAAACTCCTATAGCAGCAGGTGTTGATAGTACGACCTTCGTGTGACGGTGTTGCCGTGGATGCCAGGTTGATCCCTACTCGCTAACGCTGTCTGACTGTAAACTTTATTTCTAATGGTTGTCGAGAAGCATGAGACATTATTGACTGAGTAATGATTTGTATCCCTTTCACCCTACCCATCTAGGCAGCCACCCAGCGCGAGGGAATGAAACCGGTATTTGCGAGTCACCAGGCATTGTTCTTTCACCCGAGCTCGAGCTGATGCTACTCAACACTCTGTGCCTTTGCGGTGTCCAGAGTGCCATCCGGCTAGTCATTGGAATACGAAATTGATGTGATTGCAAAATCACGCAACAGGGTAGTGTAGCTCTGCAGCAGATCTCAGTGAAGTCATCGACCATGATATGGTGCCCAAGGCCAAGGAATGTTGCGCGAAGAATGAGACGAGAGATATCGTATCGCAGACTACCCGATAGCCGATCAAATATGGACGTCGGTCTTGGCATGGGGAGCCCATTATTTACTCACTCGGGCAAATGCTCAGCGTGCATGAACAACACCATATCTCTATTCCCTTGGCGAAAAGCATGAATCCCAATATCCGAGGGTAGCGACCGACGGTACCTACGCAGAGCGGGTGTTTCCATACGTTTTAGTTGCCTCTTTCCCCTCGCCTCGGGAATTGACCATGACCACGCTCCACTTGCACGAGTTGCCAGGGGAGCTTCAGTTGGTGTGTGGAAGCCAGGACCTCGTGGCCCAGCAGGCACCTCCCTGGTGACTGGGCAGCGTTGCTTATCGAGGTAGCACCTGCTCCTCACATACAACCACCCGCGGATACAATTGCGGCCTGACTCTCAGGCTCAGATTGTCGGTCAGTCTCTCCCCTGAGCTCGACATAATGGAGACTCCGGACAACTCACAAGGCGGAAGCTTGGGTGGAAGTTATAAACCTAGCTTCCAGGCTCCTCCAGGGTACATAAGTCATGTGGCTACTGCTGAGAGCAGTTTAGTGTTGGGCAAATAGGCGTAGATTAGATTGGCCGGGGCGACGATGATTGAGAAACAGCACCCATGACGATAGACCTGGCCAATGAACGGCGCCCAGTTCCTCCCTCGACGGGGCATTTGCACATGAGCCTCAAGCCTACCTGACTAACTGGTCCCCGTTCTAGCGCCTGCCAAACGCCAGCACCTACTGGGGTTCAATGACAGCACAGCGGAAGGAACAGCTCTCCACTGTTCTATTCTGCAGCAGAAACAGCCGCCCAAGCACCAGCCTCAGTGGGGAGCACGCCCACCCAAGCAAATCAAATCATACGTGCCGCTGGCCGCGAGAATCTTAGTTCCTTCATTCCATCGTCAACACCAACCCATCCCGACTTTCGCTCTCCCAGCACTACTTGCTTTGCTCATCAGTTGGGGAGCTTGGCCTTGCGCCTCGACCTGTAGTAGAGCAAGTTTTTGACTGCCGCTCAAGAATACTGCCTCTGGGCTCATGCCTTTGTTTTGGTCCAACCTCCAATGATTGGGAGCCTGGCCTGTTTCCACGCTTGACCAAAATATCCGCCTCCGAGCGTCACCCGAAGCACAACATCATCCAGCGATCATCAACCCGCGCCATCCAGTAGACCGAATCAATACCGGAAAGGGCTCTGACCCTCAGCTCCTCCCGCCATGGGCATTTGCAATTCGACTTGTTGCGGAGGTGCGTCACCTGCACTACTCACCCAACTCATTTGATGGACATTTGCTGACTGGTATCTTTGCGTCACACAGGTCGGTCCCGCGATGGACTCTACGAGCCGGTTCTTGCCGACAGCGAGCGGGAAGCTGTCGCCGATCTCCTCCTGTATCTCGAAAACGTGTGTTCTCTCTTGGCCCTGTCGTCTTCGAGCACTTTGCTAACTACCCTCTGCTCAGCGGGGAGAGACCGATTTCTTCTCTGGCGAACCTCTGAGGGCACTGAGCACCCTGGTGTTTTCCGAGAATATAGACCTCCAGCGGAGTGCAAGCTTAACATTCGCCGAAATTACAGAACGAGGTAGGAGCAAGCGCCACGCGGCGGACTTCCTTCCGAAACGATTGACTGCTCATGATTCTGATGCACCACTACTCTAGATGTCCGAGAGGTAGATCGTGACACCCTGGAGCCCATTCTCATCCTACTACAAAGCCCAGACATCGAAGTTCAGAGGGCTGCCAGTGCTGCGCTTGGTAACTTGGCGGTGAATAGTACGTCATCATGCTCCTCTCCACCGACATGATTCTAACAAGCCTTCCCTAGCCGAAAACAAAGTCCTTATTGTTCAGCTCGGCGGACTCACCCCTCTTATCCGACAAATGCTCTCCCCCAACGTTGAAGTTCAGTGTAATGCTGTAGGATGCATCACCAACCTAGCGACGCACGAGGAGAACAAGGCAAAAATTGCACGATCAGGCGCCTTGGGCCCTCTTACCCGACTCGCCAAGTCCCGTGATATGCGTGTTCAACGGAATGCCACCGGTGCCCTGCTGAATATGACACATTCTGGTGCGTTTTGACATTCAAAACCTGACGAGACCTTGTGCTAAATCAAACACCATAACAGATGAAAACCGACAGCAACTCGTTAATGCCGGTGCTATTCCGGTTCTCGTTCAGCTTCTATCCTCCCCCGATGTTGATGTTCAATATTACTGCACAACTGCTCTCAGCAACATCGCTGTCGATCTCAACAACAGACGGAAGCTGGCCTCTTCGGAGCCCAAGCTCGTTCAGGCGCTTGTGAATCTTATGGATTCCTCATCGCCCAAGGTGCAATGCCAGGCTGCACTGGCGCTTCGAAACTTGGCATCGGACGACAAGTATCAGCTGGACATCGTCCGGGCAAATGGATTGCCTCCCCTTCTTCGCCTCCTCCAGTCATCATACCTTCCTTTGATTCTATCAGCTGTTGCTTGTATTCGCAACATCTCCATCCACCCTATGAATGAATCCCCAATTATCGAGGCCAACTTTTTGAAGCCACTGGTGGACTTGCTGGGTTCCACAGATAACGAGGAGATTCAATGCCATGCTATTTCGACGTTGAGAAACCTGGCGGCCAGCTCAGACCGGAACAAGGCTCTTGTATTGGATGCGGGGGCTGTTCAAAAATGCAAGCAGCTGGTTCTAGACGTCCCCGTGGCTGTCCAGTCCGAGATGACAGCCGCCATCGCCGTCCTGGCCCTCAGCGATGACCTTAAGTCCCACCTATTAAACCTTGGGGTCTGTGATGTTCTTATTCCCTTGACTCACTCCCGAAGCATTGAGGTTCAAGGTAATAGTGCCGCCGCACTTGGTAATCTGTCTTCAAAAGGTAAGCTATACTTGTCATTGTTTCATTAACGTCCTTCACTAATAATATGACATAGTTGGAGATTACTCCATCTTCGTACAAAACTGGAATGAGCCTAATGAAGGAATTCATGGTTACCTCGGTCGATTTTTGCAATCTGGCGATGCCACCTTCCAGCACATTGCTGTCTGGACGCTCCTGCAGCTCTTCGAATCTGAAGACAAGACTTTGATTGGTCTCATTGGGAAGGCCGACGATATCATTGAACACATCCGCACCATTGCAAACAGGCCAGTTGAACCTGAACCAGAATCCGAGGAGGATGACGAAGGGGAAGTTGTCAATCTCGCGCAACGATGCCTTGAGCTCCTAGGCCAGAGCGGCTCTAAGGCGCATATCGAGGGTTAAGGCGGCAGATTGATCCTCATCGGCTTTAAACGAACAGGAGATTGATTGTTCTTATTTTCGCATATCAAGCGTACGAGTTCTCGATTGAAAGGGGCGGCAAGGCACGGCGCGCTTGCGGTGTTCCGGGCGTTTCATTTTACTCTCACCCAAGAGTATAGCTTGGGCTATTTTTTCTTACATTATTCACTTATTTATTGTTTAGTCATTTTTGGTCCAGTATTCTGGAGGCGACGATCGAGGAGAAATAGGTCGCAAGATGATGATTCATTATTTGGCAGGCATAGACTGTTGGCCCAGTCGACGTATGGTCCTAGAGCGGGATCGCATACGATCGGACTGGGAATACATTTCATTGATTGTACAGAGCATTTGCAGTTTGTCAGAGACTTCCTGGTCTCATTTCTCTTTGATTCGAAACGAACACGGTGGTGATAGGCAAGGGTGAAGGAAGCACGAGGAGGTTAGGAACATTGTAGGTAATCGGACCTCTATTTGAGCTTAAAAGAATGTTTTCATGATACGCCTGACCCATTAACATATGATGATGGCGATACATTTGAAAGAGTAATGTGATACAAATAGCGGTTGGCGGGAACCAGTATGCCTCACTCGTCAACGGTGCCGTCACCTAGATCCTCGATCGGCTCCAAGGGATTATGGAACCATCCTCTTTCTGCCCACGGAAGAACCTTTGCCAGAACCTTGCCCTTGATGAGAGCTAGAGGGACAGGGCCAAAGGATCTCGAGTCTCGAGATACTGTGAGGTTATCGCCCACTATCCAACAATGTCCTTCTGGTACCTAGGGCAGACAGCTCAGCCAACTGACTCGAGGTTGAATCACATGTGATGGGTGCTGGGGGGAAAGAGTAGAGGGGGGGGGGGGGGGCATGGGAGCGTACCTGTATCATCCTCTCCTCCCCAGGACTCCCCGGCGTGTTCATCGACACATAGTCGCCGGGGAGGCCGATGAGGCGCTTGATGCCGTTGGCGTTGTCGGAGACGGGGATGCGGTAGAGGACGAGGTCGCCGACGCGGAGCTGGCCCCGGCGGTTGCGGGCGTGCGTCATGTCGGCGGCGACCCAGTCTCCCCTGACGGAGAAGGTGGGGAGCATGGAGGGGCCCTGGGCGGGCGAGACCTGGAAGACGTGGGAGGTGATGATGTGCCAGGTGCAGACGAGCTTGATGGTGGAGATTGTGAGCCGGATGGGGTGGCTCATGAAGTGGGAGACGACCATTGCTGGGGGAAAGGAGGGAGATGTGTGTGAGGTTATCGTGAGGGTGGCATGGTTTTATGAGCTTGCTTTGTCGGGCAATTGGTTGCAATGCCTGGTGAGTCTTGATGTTGGATGAGATGGGATGAGACGAGCGAGAGGTTGCTGGAAGGTTTTGAGGGCCTGATTGGGTGGGATGCTGGGTTTGCCCCATTCTTTATTCACGACTTGTTCTCAGAATGGACTGGACGACGAGAGCTGGATGAATCAATAGGTTAAAAGATAATGAGGTTGAACTAGAGACAGAGAAGCCTGGCTGTGATTTTATTATTTGGTTCTCTTCGTTGTATGATTGTTTCTTTTCTTCGATAATGGACTGTATTGTTTGGCCTAGTATATCGGATAGGTTGCAGGGCTTTGCTGAACTACGCTTAATTATTACCACCCAATCGGATATACAGGTTATTTCATCCCGTTCCTGCTTAATTATTCTTAGGAATTAACATTACCTCCATCCCTTCGAGTATATTGGACGGGAAGACATAGAAGCAAAGGGGTTCCCATCATAATGACCAATGACGCGCTGATCTTCCAACAAGGATATCCTTGGAAGCCCCGTTGGCTCAGTGGTAAAGCGTATCACTAGTAATGATAAGATCACTGGTTCGATTCCAGTACGGGGCATAGGAATCTTCATCTTTTGCCTGTCCCTCCAATTTTACTCGAAAATTGAAGGCAGCGTCTCTTTTTTGTTTGCTTTATCTCTTTCTGGGGCATCAATATACGCCTGTGGTGGGCTAGGCGATCAGGAGGGCATCACTTGTGATCGGCCGATATACTTCTACATCAATATCACTACATAACCATGGGCAGGTCCAAACTCTGAACACCGATGCGATCGGCCGTCATCGGGAGAGTGAGGAATCAAGGCCTTCGAATAACCGCTTAGGGGCATCTAGCAGCCCCTCTTCAAACAATTTTGCCCATGTACCTGCTAAAGCCGCAAGGTCCCAGGGCCTGTCCTTTTCGGAACCTACCTCTGCAGCGATAGATGTAACCTCCTTTCCGTCCAGACCACATGGCACAAAACGTGCCCATGCGTTCGTAGACTCGGGGCCAGAGACGGGAATGTCGACATTGAGCGCAATGCCGAGCGCTGTTACGTAGCGGCGGTGGTGCACGCCCAGAGCAGCAATCTTGCGAGCCGGCTGGTTCCCCTGCGTGGTGACCCAAACACCAGGCTCATCAGGGCTGATGTATGTCTTGATCCCGAATAGCTCTGCAAGAAGGCGCTGTGTCGTTGATTCCAAGTGTCCCGCGTATGAGGCAACCGAGTAGTTGGGGTATAGCGGGGAGCGCATGTCGAGGACAGGCCATAGAACAATCTGGCCTGGGCCGTGATATGTCGTCAACCCGCCGCGGTTTGTTTTCCTGATATCAGGGGTGAACGTCCGTCCACGTATCGCATTGGGGCGGTGCGGGAGGTCTACCGTAAGCTCCTGACGTAGCCGGCCGGTTTGCTCGGGGGACGGGTTGTCTTGCCGCCGCCCAAGGGTATATGTCGGTGTGGACTCGAAGGTGATGAGCTGCGGGGGAGGGCAGGTGTCTGCTGCGTCTGGCTTCTCGGACGAGTGGCTCTTCCACTGTAGGAACCTCTCGCGCAGCCGTTCTTGTACTTCGCTTGCGTGATCGTACTTCACGATGCCGTCCTGAGCAGGGTCGCTGATATGTTGATGTTGTAGAATCTTTAGGTTGCCGACGGCCTGCGTCGAGAGCCTCTGCAAGGCTATCCGGCCAAGGGTATTTGGCGGGGTGGTGCATAACCTTTTCCACCGCGCCACGTGTGGTCGCATCTTCTGTCGCATGTAGTGGCTGCAGGGAGCTAGGTGTCAGAGCCCGGGAAGGCTGTGCAGTGATAGTCGTTGATCTGACATATGGATGGTTTTGTTTGAGATGGTTTCGATAAGCCGGCCAACCACACAGACGGCAGTAACGACATATGCCGCTAGTCCTGTTTCAGCCTGACAAGACCACCGCCTTGGGGATTACGACTTGGATCAGCAACACGATTGTGCATACGCAAGCGTATCACCACGCGGGGATTGGGCCAGCACAACCAGGTCTGGACCCTTATTATGCATACACGGACCAATATTCAGTGCGCCACCAATACAGCTTACGATAAGGGACTGCTGGAGCCATTGCAGCTTGAGCAGGCGGGCGCAGACGTAGGTGCGGAGACATTTAGGTGTTAACGACGCAGGACAGGGATCTCTGACCGACAGAACGAAGCTGGACACGACACGACAGAACAGCATGTCACACCCGTTCGTGGGGGGACGGGAAAAGCAGGCGCAGCGAGACAAGGCCAGCCGTTCATGATAGCTGTACCGAGGCAGGGAGTAGCAACAAGTCGTCGAACGCGCAGTTCTGTGTTAGGTCTTGGCGAGAGACGAGCTGGTAGATGATCCGCTATTTGCACCGGGCTCCGATGACATCAGCAGAGAGCGTTGGGAAGCATCTGGGAGGAGAGCACCGCTGAAAGCTCTGCCGGGGAGAGCTGTGGGGTGTCGTCATCGACCGGGCTGGCTCCCACTAGACAAGCGCTAGTGCCGAGCTCCGGCAGCTGGGAGAGACGTAATTGCTTGTTCATCACTGGGGCGCATTCTCAGCCAAACCCATCGCCAACGCTCAATGCGACAGTCGTACGTACTACACCAGGCCGTCATCCATCCTCCCGCCCATTGCGCTCCCCATTGCGCTCCGCCCGTGGAGGGACCCAACAAGATGCTCCCGTCTCTACGTCCTGCCTCGCTTTCGGGAAATCTACGTTGTCTACCAGCCCAGCGATGGATACAGGAGCGGGCGGGCGGGAACACCGAGAGAGCAGAGCCACTATAGCTGAATTGTAAAGACGCACAAGGCGAGGGATGGCAGCCACTTGAACTCTGTAGCACCCCGATCCGAATGATTCACATGCAATGCCATGTCCTGTTCATGGCGTCGTCCCGTTGCGCTACCCAGCTAGCCCGTCCGCTCGGCAGGCAGGCAGGAAGTAGGTATGCAGAGATATGATGAAGAACATCTCGAGGCTGTCATGTGTGCTTGCAAGGCGGGTGCGGATGTGAATGCAATGCGACGATGTCATTGCCCGGTCGCCAGCAAATAAGCAGGTAAATAGCACAGCTGTCTGTCCATGTCGATCGAAACCTTGATTCCGCCGCAGTAGCACCTGCCCAATCCCGTGCAGGCTTGGCAAGGCCATCATCACACCAAACTGGGGCCAGCTCAGTCACTGTCTCTTGCCGGCGCACTCTCAGGTGATGTGATCCTGGCCGATCCTCCAGTTGCTAGCCTCTGGACAGTGGGTTCAATCGGAAAACTCAGCTCAGATCCTGCTCTGCGCTGCCATCCTGCTTGTCCCCATGCTCGCTGGGCCTGGGCTAAGCTGCTAGCACCTCGTTAGGTGGGTGCTGAGATTCGAGGTGACGCAAACCACACCACACACTATTAAAGCTAACGTGCGCTACGCTCCGACTCTTATGAGCCGTGCAATTATACATAACATTGCAGGCATCCACCCTCGTATGCCCGCCGGTCCGTCCATCCAACGATACACCCCCATCTCCTCCCAAACGGTCACTCTCGTCTTTCCTCCGAAGACAGACCTGTTGCGTCCACTTGCTCCCCATCTTTCTCCCATTCCTCATACTCCATTAGACGGATTGACTACAAGCGCTCTCGAGACATCCTGCACATCGAACGGCGTATTGACTCTTCTTGCTGTCCCCGGGGAAACCCCCAAGAAATTTAAATTGGCCAAAAAAATTAATAAAAACACTAACGACAGATAATAACGGCCATGGCTGCAAAGAGTACGTATTCAACGTCGCATCTTGCGCACACTTCCCCTCTCAATATTCTCCCGTCCAATCCCTAACTGCAATGGGCGCGTTTTCTGACCTCAATTCAACCAAACAGACGCCGCCTTGGGCATTGTCGGGCTCGTCCTGCTTGCCGGCTCCCTTCTCCTGCTCTGGTTCGTCATTCTCTCCGGCCTGACCGACCGCGTTCCTCTCAGCCTCGTCTACTTCCTGCGCGCCGACACCTCGGGCATCACCGGCGCTCGCGACGTCACCCAATGGACCTACTTCTTCTTCTGCGGCCAGGACAACAATGACTGTGGCATCGCTCGTCCTGCGCCTGCCTTTGGCAAAGCCTGGGACAGCAACGCCGCCAACGTCCCCAGCTCCCTTATAGGCCCCCACGGCGACGACACCACCTCTAAGACCTACTTCTACCTCTGGCGCTTTGGCTGGGTCTTCTTCCTCATCTCCCTCTTCTTCCAGGTCCTCGCCCTCTTCTCCGGCCTGCTTGCCTGCTGCGGCCGCCTCGGCGCCGCCATCGCCTCTTCTTTGACCTTTTTCGCTCTTGCTGCGCATACTGTCGCTGCGGCTCTCATGACGTGAGTGAATTGAGTCCCCTTGCTCTCTTTAATAGGCCCAACAGCAAAACTAACCATTCAATTCTTCAGCGCTACTTTCGTCAAGGCCCGAGATGCGTTCAAAGCCGACGGCCGCGATGCCAGCCTTGGCAGGTATGCTTTCGGCTTCGTCTGGGCCTCGTGGTTCCTCCTCTTCCTCGCCCTCGTCATCTTCTGCAGCGGAACCCGCAAGACCGACCACGTCTCCTCCGGGCGTCGCTGGGGCCGCCAACGCAGCCAGCGCAGCGTCCGTCGCTCCTACGACGGCCACCGTGTCAAGGACGACTACTCTTAGAAAGATGAAAATCGTCCTCCCGCACAGCCGACTGTCACCGGCCCCACGACGCAACCTTCTACCGACCCGGCTGCAACGACTCATGCTACTGCCGCCGGCAAGACCAGAACCGAAACCAACAACCCTGGTGTAGCCAGCAGCAGTCCAGCAGCCGCCGTGCCCCACGGGGATTCTCCCGGTGCGGATCGAAACAACATGAAAACGCTCACAGATGGAAGCGTTGGGAACGGACGACAATGAGGCCCGAGGACGGACAAAGGGACACGGTCTGCTTTCTTCTGTGGAATGTGAGGCCATGTATATGCCATATACCCACAATCTCTTTTGGAGTTTGCCAGAGTTATCAAATGATTTCCCTTGTGAAGGAAGCGAGTTAGTTTTTTTGCTTTCAATTGGCAGAGCTCAAGTAATACGTAATCAGTAACGAAGTTAATGAAAAAATTATTGCTACATGTGGTTGTTTGACTATCTATATTTCGCTGGTCTTGTGTCGGAGAATGTGTCTCTTAATCCTAACCATAGTGAGAAGGTCTAACTGGCTACATATTGTGCTATCCAGCAAGTATAACATCATTCGTATGCTTTATAATTTACGATCGGTGGGAACATGCCCCTCCCCTCAAGTAGGAAGGGTGATAGTACGCACAATAGCCAAGGAACATGGGGAAAAAAGATCTCTCTTTTAGAAGTTGCCTTCTTTGATTGTGTCTTGTGTGTTGATGTACGTACAAGAATCCCAAAATGCCACCACTCCATCCCTCGCATCCCAAATGTGAACCGGCCAGAGAAATTCCACGTCAAGTGGACAAGACTATGCAGTTAACAGGAGAAAGAAAAAAAATCACAATCCTCTCAAAACAGATCTGAATCCGATCAATGCACAGCGCCACCTTCTAGGAACCAAGAACCAAGATTAACAGGAAAAGAAAAGACAGAAGGAGACCATTGATCTGCGTGATCAAAGAGGTGGTGGAGGGGTCCATTAACATCTACAGGCTGGAGGGCTGTTCCTACCAAGTTCTGACTTCCCCGGCTGTTCAGTCAACTGAATGCCAGCTTCAATGACCATCGAATCCATGATTCGGCCACATTCCAAAGCCACATTCCCCACAAAAGGGCGATTGTATTATGCCAAAGGGTTGCGCCCAGAAAGTGGACTTGCTGTAGGGCTGACCGTATCAAGAGGGGCAGCATGGAGTGCTGGTGCCACGGGGCTGCCTTTCCCTGAGACAGCCTGCTGCTTAAGAACAGCCTTCACCCAGTTTGCTACCTCCTCATCTTCCACGCTTGCATCAAGTTCGATCTGCGCCACCGTCTCAGCTATCTTGTCGGCTTCATCGCCTTCTTCAGCTTCTTCCGTGATCGTTTGAGGCTTAGTCATTGGGCTCAACCAAGGATGCTTTAGCAGCATGGCATACGTCGGTCGCAGCTTCGGTATTTTGTTCAAACAACTGCGCACAAAGTCCTTAGCCACCGTGGAATAGCCTTCTTCTGGCAGGCCAGGGGGTTCGCCCTCAACAATGGCCTAATAGCGTTAGTTATAGCACAAGGTGTCCTGTGACTGAAACACTTACATTGAGTTGACTGTAGATTGAAGACGAAACTTCAGGTGGGTATGGATAACGACCCATGGCACATTCAATGATTGTCAAGCCCAAACTCCAGATGTCACTCTGAACGCTATACGTTCCATCAGCATTGCCAACCTGCGCCATTCCACCACCGGAAATGCGTTCGGGCGCCATGTAACTTTGGCAGCCGATGTTGGTCTTCGCAATGCTCGCCACAAGGTTCCCGCTAACTCCAAAATCACAAATCTTTACCTGCCCTCGGGTATTGACCAAGATATTCGTAGGTTTGACATCGCGATGGATGATGTTGTGGTCATCTTTCAACGATTTGAGTCCCATAACAGTCGAGTAGGTGATTTTTCGCAGAACGCCCTCAGGGATGCCACCGGGGTAAAGTTTATCAATGGAACCTCCATCCATGTACTCAATACACATGTACACCGCGCCCTCCTGGAAAAATGCGCCGTAAAAGTCGATGATATAGGGAGAAACACACTCGTGTAA